TATCTGCCTGGACTTGAAAATGAGGGCCCTTTTCTTTACTGCGGGCAAGTCATGCAATCTTTGCCTCACTTCCCCATCTCTAAAATGGGGATAATACAGTAACGGGTGCTAAAGCAGTATCTCTGGGAGCGAGGTATGGATGTGGAACGAAAGCAGACAGATATGGCAGGGAAGTAAACCTGGCTGCAAAATGAGAACAGTTGCAAGATCTAAATGTTCTATCCGTGGGCTGAGGGAATCAAGAGAAGAGAGGAACACAACACTTAGATACATACGCTTGTCTGCAAAAGAAACGTAAGCACAGCTTCTGTATTAGAGAATTGCACCTCTTTACATTTTTACGATACACTGGGGGAGAAGTTCACACAAGCAGTTCACAAGCGGTTAAAAGTGACCTGTCAGATAACATTTACTTACACTTTCAAAAGGCTTTTGATAAAGTCCTGCAGAAGAGACTATTAAGAAAAACAACTTACTTCACTAAAAAGTGTAGGGTAAGTGGCAAAGTCCTGGGCAAGTGATAGAAGAGTCATAACACACATCAGTTCCTCTGAGCAAAGAGAAGTAAATATTGAGGCATGCAAGAGACTGGTGTGTGGATCAGGGCTATTTAGCAGGGTATATTAATGACGTGTAAGAGGAAGTAGAAAGTGAGGTGGTGAAAGGTGACAACAACACAAGTTTATTTTAGTGAGTGAAAACTGGAGATGATTGTGAGAAACTCCATGCTGAGTTTGTGCTGCACAACAGGTTAGACAGGCACATTCAGGTTCAAATTCATGTGTTTAAAAAAACCCACACTAATCACACTTAACGAGATGTGATTTTTTTTTTTTTTTAATATGTCAGGAGCCAACCCCAAAAGATCTTAAGTACAGGCGTAACTGTAAAGACAAGAATAGTCCATTGAAGATGGTGGACTTAAATTTTGCAGAATTGGGGTTTAATAGCATTTTTCATTATTTTCGTTCTCAGCTTGGATTTAGAAATGTGAATGATTGCTGTTTCTTTTGCTTATAGTCCTGGTTCTAACTGGCTGTATTTTCAGTTAGATGTTTGCAGGATGCTGCAGCATATTAGTTCCAAGCAATGCAGGGGACTGTTTAGATGTTTTATTAAAAAAAATAGTTTCCACTGACATTTAAGAAACACAATGGAAACACTAGGTTTTGTAAACATAGACGTTATATAACCTAAATTCGAGGCCTAAATTGACCAGAAAGCACTGCTTAAATTTAACTTGGGTCTACACAGGGTAATGTACTTGGCAAAAGGAATTAGGAACTGCTGAAAAACAAATCCTCAGAATCATTAGAGAGAAACGTAAGAAACTCCCTCTCTGCAGACGTTGTGCAAAGTTCAGAAGGGCTCTTGCACGCTTGGGAAAGCGTGCAGAAGGCAACCCTTCTTTAATGCAGTCAAGTAGTCATGTAGCATTGCAGGAGACAGTATCTTTTCCACACTTAATTAGATTGCATAGAAAAGAGCATTATATGGCTTGTAACCAAATAATTCCAGATCACAGAATTTATACATGCTACAGTCAGATTTTCGCAGGCCAGACAGCTCTGAAATCCTAGAGAAAGAAATCTTAAAAAAAAAAAAAAAATCTTATGCAATCTTAGGGTGGCATTTCCTGCCTTCCAAGTATGTAATCCTTCAGTCTCTATGTTGTTTAAATGCATTTGTGTGGTACATACTTCTAACACATTTTTTTTCCAATACAGAAGTTCCTTCTAATTTCCTGAAATTTTCTATCGGGAAGGGAGTTTGCAAAGTCCCAAATCCCTAAGCCAGCGGTTCTCCACCTTCTTAAACTCAAGCCACTCCTCTGGAACTGTTGTGAATTGAGCAGCACCCCATTTCAAAAACTCATTTATATATCGCAGTGCTTATCTCCTTGCACAGGGGCCAGGCAGTGGGAATGGGGGAGCAGCCAGTCACAAACCATCTTGACCCTGTGCATATACATCCCACACGTTGCAGCACCATTCAAAGGATCTGTCCCTGGTTGAGGATCACTACCCTAAACTCACAGATCTTGGCAAAGGGCAGGAACAGCAACCTTTGCACTACTCCCAGGGATTCCTCCTCCTTTTCTCTGGCTGGCAGCACAGCAACACCACAAACCAAACCTGCTCACCACCGGAATAGTTCATTACAGGCTTTGCCCAGCTATGAGGCCTAAAGTACAGGTGGAAGGACCTGAAAATCTTGTGGTATGTATTATTTACATTCTTGACAATAAGAAAACACACATACCAATGCAGATTCAATTTCTCTGCATGCCCCAGTTCCTGTTTCTCTCTCTGTGCCCAGCACACATGAAAGGCTAAGCCTCTCAGAAAGCTAGGACTGGCATGCCCTAGGACGTGCTAGTGGCTGATGCACCTTGTGGGGCAGGCTGAGGAATCTCTACCCAAGGTTTGGCTTGCTGGAACCTCCTGGCTTGTTTTTTGTGTTAACTTCTTCCGTGTATGATATCAAATGGGAAGTGTTATGCCCAGCAGGGATTTCCATACAGTAACAGTTAACTCCTTCCAGCTACCAAGTGCCAATGCAATGCCTGCACAAGGAGCCCATCCTCTCTGTTCTCAGTGCACCCCTGATGTCACCCATGGGAGATGGTAGTGACCAGCTGGCTCAAGGCAGAGAGAGAGAATGGGGCAACAGCAGTTTAAGAGAGGAAAGTTTCCCATTCAGCTTGTTCACCCAAACACCTGTTACTTTTAACCCCTCTGCCCTGCCTCCGCCATGGGATCCCAGCTTGTCTTCCCTCCCTTCAGTTCCCTTCTCTCAGCCAGACCTCCCCTGAAAGACCCCCGGGCACACCTACTGGTTGCTTCCCAGTTTCATCCTGCATCAATTGTCCTGTATCTAGTAAATCTTTATGCCTAGAAATCAGCTCCTCAGTCCCAACAAAGTATAGCAAGGTAAAGACCATTGCAACCTTGGTGTTTAACACTGCATTAATAGTGCACTTGGCCGAACAATGCCACAAGGACGCAGCAAACTGGTGAACTTTTCAGAAAAGCAAGGTGTGCAGCACTGCCAACTTTCACCATCTGACTGTCTCACAGTAAGTGAAACTTTCTTTTAAAGCATTACCTGCTGGAAACATACTGCCGGAACATCTCGACTTTCATGATTCAAAGAAAACCAAGAAAACTGCTCTTTCCCACTTGGGCACATGGCTCTAAAGAAAAACTGAAAATGTGATATACTTGCTCCCTAAAAGCTCAGAAACCAGAGGGCAAAATATCTAAATGTATTAGTTGGTTAAAAAAAAAAAAATAATCAGGGGTTGTTTTCTTTGGGACCAGACTCATGATTTTCAAATGTGGGGCTCAGCAATACTGTCAATAGCAAAAAGTCAGAGAGCGAGTTTAGTGCATTGGTTACCTCCCACAACACTAATGACAATCAGGACGCATAGTAGAGATTATATCTTTTATTAAACCAACAAGATTTTTGCAAAAAAAATTCTTTAATTGTAAGCTTTTTGGTCTAATAAAAGATATCATCTCTACTACGAGTCCTGATTGCCTTTTCCTCTAAACCAATATGGCTACAACCTGGATACCTGAGAACACTGATGAGGCTTTTTTTTAGATATCATTAGAAGTATCGACTAAAACATGTACATATCCTGTAAAATCAAATACAAAAATAGCACTGGGTCAGCGTTTACAATAGACCTCCTAGGTAAGCTCAAATCATACCCTGCTTCCTCTTCAATAAGTATGCTTGGAGATATCAGTCATAATTATGGGTCAGAAGAGATTGACATTGTCCATCTTAGTCCCTCTCTGTCTATATCAGGAGTGTCGAACTCATCCCTCCTTGAAGCATAATGCTCCTTGCAAGCTAGATACAGCACCTCTGGTTAATGCACCTGTTGTTCAGCTCCCATCGCCAACATGCATCCCCCAACAGGGCTCCAAATTCCTGATCCGTCTGGGAACCCCACAGAACATGTTTGACATCCCCGATCCATGTCATGACCACGTTCATTCAAATTGGTTATGTCTGCTCAAGAGAAAGTTAAGGCTGAAACGCCAAAGTCTGGCAAGCCAAGCATAAAGTATCTGACAGGGGAGTTTGCAAAGCAACAGAGTGTACTCAGTATTAGTGCCTTCCTTTCTCATGGCGGCTGATCCTAGGAGACACTGAGCACCTCCAGTTCCAGCCAACTTATGTGACACAGCATCTAGCAGGATCAGGCCCAGCACCAGCGCAGTCACTCACAAAGAGTAATTATAAACTGAAAAGAAAAACAATTTAATTCCTTCATTTTCTACTTACTTTTAGACAAGACTTTTTTCCAAGACAGTTACACAAAAGCCACTCTTTGAATTAACAGGCAATTACTTAATTAGGTACTTAGTTGCACATTACAATATGCTAGCTGCCTTTCTAATCTATTCAACAGTTACCAAATTGGGCCCTATGCTATCCATAACAAGAAAATATCCCATTTTGTGAAGAAAACTTGTTACAAGACAAGTTTTAAGCAAAGTGAATGGGTTCTCTTAGTTTATATATAACTGTCTTGGAAAAGAGTCTTGTCTAAAAGAAAGTGGAAAACGAAGGAATTAAATTGTTTTTCTTTTCAGTTTATAATTACTCTTTGTGAGTGACTGCGCTGGTGCTGGGCCTGATCCTGCTAGATGCTGTGTCACATAAGTTGGCTGGAACTGAAGGTGCTCAGTGTCTCATATATATATTTCTTTCACATGCATTTTTACAAGCGTTTGAGGTGTAAGAACAAACTGAAGAGGCTCTCAAACCTAAGCCCTTTTTATTATTTCAGGTTCCAACATGTCAAATTGATTTTAGCAAAAATCTTAATACAGGTCCCTGAATGGATTTCTGCTAATGTATGGCTTATTTGTATAAGGATACTAAGAAAAACAAAGCTGGAAAGACTGAACACATGTTAGTGCACAGAGGGTGAAGCTCGTTAAAGGCCTGCGTGGGTGCCATCTTTCAGAACTTACCTTTTGTTTTGCTGTGGTTTAATTCTTCTTCAAACGTTGTCTTATTTAGAAATTACGCAGACTCAGAGACTTGCACTGTAAGTAACAAGGCAGATTACCAGATTAAAAACTGGCTCACTGACTGATCTCAAAAAGTCAGCTCTTACTAGGGAGATCCAGTCAATTGGGACATTGGTAGCAGGACCAAGAGTTGTTTATTGCTCCAGTAACGTGAATTATCAATAATCTCGATTATGTTTATAATTTCTTTGCTCAGTTTTCAGATGACGCAGAGTCAAGAGGCAGACTAAGTGAGGAAGAGGATGTGTTACTGTTAGAATGATTTAAACTGCCTGGTTAAATCATCACATGTTTTCTGGCAGAAAGTTGTAGGCTATCTCAGTCTCAGGATGGGAGACTTCAGATTGCACATTCATAGCATCCGATAAAGTAGGTTGTTGCCTATACAAGAGCTCATGCCTCTCTGAACCAGTTAGTCTCCAAGGTATCACCCTGCCCAGGTAGCCAGATGCTCTATAAAAACCAAGAAAACAGCAAATAATCAATGAAATGTTTGAGATTTTGTTAATAAATCTTTAAAAAAGTCTACAACAGTATATTTTCTTCTACCTAGGCTTGTACACCAGACCCATCCCCACAGAGGTCAACTTTTCCATTTGAAATTAAATTAAAAACCCAATCCTCTACAGCCATGTCCAGATGAGCGTGGCCGTGCAGTACATGGCGCCACAGACCTGTCTGCCCAGCGCCACACATTGCAATTCAGGTGTTCCCCACACTGCAAGGTAGCAGTGTGGGGTGAGTTTTTTTGACCTTAGAAGATCCTGGGGTTAAAAAACTCATGCAAAAAAAGCAGGGCAGTGCAAATGGGCAGTGTGCACCGCCCAAAACAGGAGCCTGGCTGGCTGGTGCCACACACCAGCTGCCGGCCAGGCTCCAAGCAGCAGGAGCCCAAGGCCCCTGGGGAAGGCTGCTGGGGCCAGCACGGTTGCTGGCCCCAACATCCCCTACCCGACCTGGGGTAACCGGGGAGCCAGAGGGTGCGTGGCACAGGTGTTTCCTGTAGACAACTAGCAGCAGCACAAGATGTGCCACTGCTTTTTGTCCCTGGGGAAACAAACGTCCACGCTTGTGTGGACACAGCCTACTTGGGCAAAAGCTCCCATCGTGCCTTAACAATCCAACCCCACAGGCACTGTTGAACCAAGTCGTTCTATTAAAAACTCGGTGGGCTTGTCTGCACTGGCATAGTGTCATGTAAAAATATTTTCAGCCAGGCAAATTGTAGTTTAGCACACATTAGCTGGGGTGGTGGAAAAGTTTAGGCTACAAAATGGCCAGCTACTACATATTAAACTACAAATTTGCCTTGCCTACAGTAGCAGTTAAAAAAAATTTAGTTAAGCCACGTAAGCAAATAAAAAAATTATCTGACGGCACATTTTTTCCCCACACATAAGATGCTAACTTTTGACCACGTTAATTTCAGCATTAACTTTTTGCTTCTCATTATTATTTAATAAAAAAATCCAGATGAAAAAAATCAAATCATTTGATCTTATTGAATTAAAACTTTTTAGTATTGAAATGGAAGTTTGATAACTGTAGAAATAATATATTCAGACTTTCATTTCATGAAAAATTCAGAGATTTTACTTTTCAACCCAGTTTATGATAAAACAAAGTGCCAAATTCTCAGAATTTCCCACAGGACAGGAATTGCAGGTTTTTTGATTGGTACTCTACATTAGCAAAGTCTTTTTTAAAGCACGCGTTCCCCCTGGTCTGGATCAGCTTGGTAAAGTTTGCAGGACTGGATTTTAAAGCATCTTTTAGGCTAGGTGAGTCAACAGTACGGCCCATGGGCTGGATTTGGCCTGCAGAGCCCCGTCATCCAGCCCCTGGTGCTGCCCTGGGTCTGAGTCGATCTATGCATGGCTGGACCAGTCCCATGCACTGGGCTTGAGATGCGCGCCTGTCCTGGCCAGTCCGAGACATTGCTCCAACTGGTCCAGGACCCACATTACCCCTGTAATAGTATCCTAGTGTAGACAGACAAGTTTTCATTTTGTTAGCTGGTTGAGATCAGTTCTGTGCTCATTCCTTTACTTGACCGCTACCACCCAAAAGGTGTTAAAACTACTCCCTGCTTCATCCATACAGGAGTTTTAGTGCATTATAGATACACTGTGCCCCAAAGAGTACATGACTAACCATACTATTAGGTGCCTAACTGGAGATTAAAAAAGAACTGCTTCTACTTTTCATGTTTGGGCTTAAACATACCCCTGCAGTGTTTTTGCAAGCCCCAAAGTGCAGTGGACTAGCCCACACAAAAATCACAAGGGAAAGCAAACTTTAATGTAAACACAAAACTGACTCTGGTCTATCACAATCTATGCAAAAAACACGTGAACAAATGCAGAGGGAGAAGTAATGCTGGTCACAAAACCTCTCCCAAGGCTAACGATATCTAGTAGTTTGTGGTGGAAGGCATTTTTGCTAGGTCTAAGGTTTGAAGCACACCTGCCGCCTACAGCAAGGGGCTGACAGTCATGAGTCTACAGTTCAAACTGCATGCGCCAGGCCAGGGCGGCCAACCTGTGGCACAGGTCCCACAGGTGGCAAGGGAAGCCTGCGCGTGGCATGTGGCAGATCCCGGAGGGAGCAGGCAGCACAGGGGCCGACAGAGCAGGGATCAGAAAGCAGAGCAGACCGGGCAGCAAGCAGAGCAGCGAGGATTGCCAACTCTGTTCGAATCTATTCCGGGAGGTTTCTGGAACGCCAGCGTGCCCGTGAGCTCATGTAGATCAGTTACACATTACAGTGCGTAGGCTTTACGTCAGGGAGGCAAACGCATGTTCCTGTTACCTTTAAAAAACCCACTGGACTACTGCATAAATCGGATTCAACATTTCATACTTATTTTAATGAACACCCCCCATCATTTACCTCTCAGCAGCCTCCAAGAGATTTCTCTCTCGTTCCTGGAGACGCCAGGGCAATCCTGGACGGTCAGCCACGCTAAGAGCAGCAGATCGGGCAGGGCGCGCAGGGAAGGGAAGCAGAAAGCAGAGCAGTGGGTCAGACAGGACGCATGAGGTAGGGAAGCAGAGAGCAGAGCAGTGGGTCAGACAGGACACACAGGGAAGGGAAGCAGAAAGCAGAGCAGCAGACTGGGCATGGAGCAGAAAGCAGAGCAGTGGATTGGGTGGGGAGCAGAAAGCAGAGCCATGGGCCAGACCGGATGCACAGGATAGGGAAGCAGAAAGCAGAGCAGCAGATGGGGCAGGGTGCACAGGGAAAGGGAGCAGAAAGCAGAGCTGAAGGCCAGACAAGATGCACAGGGCAAGGAGCAGAAAGCAGAGCAGCAGATGGGGCAGGGTGCACAGGGAAAGGGAGCAGAAAGCAGAGCTGAAGGCCAGACAAGATGCACAGGGCAAGGAGCAGAAAGCAGAGCAGCAGATGGGGCAGGGTGCACAGGGAAAGGGAGCAGAAAGCAGAGCTGAAGGCCAGACAAGATGCACAGGGCAAGGAGCAGAAAGCAGAGCAGCAGATGGGGCAGGGTGCACTGTGAAAGGGAGCAAAAAGCAGACAAGATGCACAGGGCAGGGAGCAGAAAGCAGAGCAGGGGATGTGGTCCCTGGTGGGGGGGACGGAGATCCCCAACGGCCGCGTGACGACACGAGGCGCGGGCCACGGCTCCGCCCCGATGGCGGGGCTGGGGAGGGGGTGGTCCCCTCGGCTCCCCGCCCCGAGGGGCGGCCCCGCTATAGCGCGCGCTGCTCGGCTCTCCCCTCACCTTAAAGGCAGGTGTCCGCCCTTAAAGGCCCCCGCTCGGCCGCGGCCCCCGCGGGGGGGGCGTTAACCCCCTCGCGCCTGGCGGCGGCGGCGGCGGCATTTCTGTTCAGGCGGCGCGGAGGGAGCCCGGGCCCGGTGCATTGTGGGAGCGGCTGGGAGTCCCGCTGGCGGGAGGAGGCGGAGGCGC